AAAAACATTTTCCAACTAAATCTAAAAGATAAAACTGTAATGAGTTAATAAATAACAAATATTTGTAAATTTTAAATTGCACCTTTCTGCGAAACGGTAAAAAAACTAGGTAACACAAAACTGTAAATAAGCAACTTGTGTTAAAAATCATTTGTGCGCTGTGCTGGTGTGTGTGTTGTGATAAAATGATACAGGCGTACATTTAATCGCAACACAGCGTATCACAACGCTTTGACACGCACTGCCACTGGTAAATTAATGTTATTTTGAAAAGAAAAAAAATCAAGCCCTGCGATGTGTTCTAACAAGGCACCGCAGTGCATGGTGTACACCACAATATGGTGCACCCTGTTGCACATGTATAGTATGTGTGTGTGTAGAGGGGGGGATAAAGCACTTCCTGTTCATTCATAACTGGGGACACATAGTACTTGTTTGTTCTGGACTCAGAGGATTGGTAATTTTAACAGATATTTACCCATTCTACGCTCAGCCATCCAACTCGCTTGGTCACGCACGGGGACCGTTGGGGGAACAGTTCTGCTATAAGTTCATGGTTGCTAAAGCTATAAGCAGAACCGTAAAAGCCACCAATATAATGCTTACTGATGTGGCCAGCTGGAAACAGTCAATCTGGAACAAAAAATATATATGTAAAGCGCACCACTGGGATGTGGACAAATCTTTCACTCGTTGGCTATGTAAGAGCAGGTGTGCATAAACTCTTCAAACGAATGGGAGAGGAACTCCATGCAATAATAGGAACGAAACACAGTATAGAGAAGAGTGTGACTACCTACAAATGCTCAATGAGTGAATGAATGATCTTAATAATAATAATAATAATAAAGCGCAGCCTATTAGCTGAATGATTAAAGTGAAAGTGGCAGAAGTGTGACTTACGGTAGGGAAGTCATCAGCGGGCGTCCGGAGTCCATGCACTCACGTGGGGATGACGAAGACGGTCTGTGTACTGGCGATCTGGAGTGTCCAGGGAGTCCTCAGGGTATCCCTGGGAACCGCGTCCTCGGCTGGCCAGGCCGAGCCGCGGCAACCCGAGCAGAGAGCAAAGACTATGCCCGGCAGTTGGATCCTACACTAGAGAGTGTGGATCAGTGCGGTGTGCAGCGCGAGTACTGGGGAGTCAGATACAATGTAAAAGTCGATGCTCGTGGTCAAAGGGAGATGTGCTGCAGGGTGAGACACCCCTGTGGGTTGAAGTAACGGCTACGCGTTTCGAGGGTAACCCTCTTTGTCAAGCCTTGCAGCGTTGTCGGCCGCGGGAGAAAGACATTCTTTTAAAATTGACAGGGGGGAGGAGTCCGGTCCGAAAAACTGCCGTGATAGGCTTAGCCGCCGGGAGGCGGACTCGCATTCACGAGACACTCAGAGGTGGAATCGTCAGGAGCTATCATACTCCGATCTGTTTATAGTTCTGGGGACATTATGTGAATAACATTTCTATAGTGATAATCCTAGCTTTCTAAGAGTGAATGTTGACATTGGGGCAATCATGACTACTTTATATTTCTATGTGAGGCATATCATCAAATTTCGTAATAATATGGGTATGAACAGATTCCTTTAACAGGGTTAAGAATGAATGAGACTGTCATATTTAATGTATAAAAAGCATTAAATATAAAAATGCAAGATGAATAAAAAGTTTTTATTATTAATCATTTTAAAACTATGTTGTATATTGATTCCCGGATGAATAAAAAGTTTTTATTAATTATTTTAAAAATGTTTTGAAAATGTTTTGTTTATTGATTGTGTGTGTAAAAACAATGTTTTTTTAAAAAACAACAAAACAAAAACATCTTTTTCCTTTTTTGGGGGTCTCGTATCTAAAAGAAAAAGGTAGCCTAAAAACTGGTGGGGGGTGATTATCTGCTCCAGGTTTAGATACTGAAAGTATCCTCAAATAGCCTATGGATCGATCTCGGTCTTAAAGATGTGATGGTATGAAGGTTTTCTCCGTGTGGGTATACCCACACGGAGAAAACCTTCATACCATCAAATACCATACGCCACCAGCATTCGGCTCTCCTCCCATGTCAAGTTTAAATGAGCTTCGTTCTTCCCGCCACACATCACCGTTCTGAGGCTTGAGAAAGAGGCTGTGCCTCGAAACGCGTAGCCGCCACCGCATTGGGAGCCCTCTTCTTCGTTCAGTTGTCCATCCCTCCAGACTTCCTTCTCCATTCAGGACTAGTCATTCTTGCGTGACATCAGCCTGACGACATCTGCTGAATGTACCGAACACAGTAGTTTATAGCCGCTCGCGGCTTCCCCTTTCCTAGCCGCCGCCGCGGCCCGGCCAGCCGTGCACGCGTGCTGCCAGGTATCTTCACAGTGCTCCCACATCTGTTACCACCTACTCCTGGAACCATCCATCCTCGGACTCTCCCCTGGCACCCGGCAATAAGATTGCTTAACCACCTTTGACACATCAGCTGCCTTTCAACTGTAAGTCACATCATTCATTTCTTCACCAACATTAGACATTATACATTCTTAATTTCAGGTAGTAGCGCTCCTAACGCTCGTTGTTTTATATGTACTGAATTGCAGGGTTCCTCTCCCTGATAGTAGGAGCTCGCACACCCCACATTTCAGCCCGATTTTACATAGTGACCAGTAACCAGTTGTGCGCTTATTTCATCTTTTTTTGATCTTTCCACAAACATCATAGCCAGTCTATACAACCTTCTAAGCTTCGGTTGAACAAAAACATCTTACAATTAAAGTAAAATAATGGTGGTCAACCTGCAAGTTCCTTATATAAATAAAAAGGCGATTTATCCTAAACCAGACAAGGACCAATCTCTCTGTATGAACTTTCGACCAATCTCGCTGATCAATGTCGATGTGAAACAGTTTCCCAAACTGATTGGCAACTGTCTTCAGCCTCTTCTCCCGGGGGTGATCTACTCCAACCAGGTTGGGTTTGTCCAGGGTGGGGAGGTGTGGGATAACACCATTAGGCCCATGTTATTGATGCATTAGGCCCAGACCACCAATACCCCCCTCTGCCTCCTGTCAGACGCAGATAAGGCATTTGACCGCCTAGGCTGGACCTTCCTTAAGCATACTTTGCTGCAACTGGGCACCTGCCCCAATATGTTGAGAAACATGATGGCTTTATATTCTGGCCCATCAGCTAGGGTCCGCTTCAATGGCTCCCTCTCTCCTAGCTTTCAAATTTCCGATGGCACACGTCAGGGCTGTCCGCTGTCCCCCTCCTCTATATACTCACCATGTAGCACCTGGCGGTCGCTCTCCGCCAGAGTCCCATGTTACAGGACATTTTGGTGGGCACACTTAGGTCCAAGCTTGCCCGGTTTGCGGACGCCCTACTGCTCTACGTCACTCAGCCTCATATTGCACTGCCGACTATTCTGCAGGAATTTGCTCTTTTCGGCTTTAAGCAATTTTAGGGTCAATATTTCCAGTGGGAGATGCTCAATGTATCACTGGGGTCAGAGGTCCTTCTTTAACTGGCTAGTAACTACTCATTTAGGGTTTGCCCCACTTCTTTGAAATACGTTGGCGTACATTTACCTACTGACCTGACTGCCCTACACTCTCTGAACTTCCCGCCCTTGCTGGAGAAGACGACTCAGGACTTTGCCTTGTATGACCGCAAGTTCCTTTCGTGGCTGGGCCGTATTAATGCAATTAAAATGGACATTGTCCCTAGGTTTTTATACCCGTTTCAACCTTTGCCCATCGATATCCCAGATGTATATCTGAGGCAAATCCAGCGGGTCTTCACGAAGTTTGTGTGGGGCACGTCTCGTCCCCGGATCAGTTATAGGACCGCACTATAAGAGGTGCCTTGGCGCGGCTGTGCGGCTTTCACATTTTCTGCAGAAGATGTGTATCCAAACCCAGTCATCTTTCTTTATATCTCTGCTGCGGTTCTGGTCCGCGTAGTGGATTGGTTCCACCGCGATAAGGACAAACAGTGGGTCCGCTTAGAGGAAGTCATTACATGCTTCGACCTGTTGGCCCTACACTGGGTAGCTCCTGGGTCTAGGCCTGTGTATTCCTCTCTCCCGTTTCTGACTGCCCATGCCTTGAAACTAGAGGTGCACCGAAATATAAATTTAAAAACCGAAATGAAACCAAAATAAAAAAAATTGTCAGGCCGAAACTGAAAATGTTTTAATTTTAATGTTTTTCAAATTTTTTTAATATTTTATTTTTATTATAAAAACTTTTTAATGTTTGTATTAATTTTGTATTAAATATTTGTATTTTTTTACTTTTTGGGGGCATCGGGGAAATATTAGGGGTCTAAAGACCCCTGATATTTCCCTTTTAAAATAGAAAAAAAGAGATTGAGAAAACAGAGTCCTCAATCTCTTTTTCTCTTTTTTTTTGCTGGAGTGGGGCTGTTAGTATGTTAGCTGCAGTGCAGTGCGTTTTTGACGCGTTTGCATTTCCTGACCGTACAAAATGTGACATGCAGTATTTTTCTGCCGTAAGCTTAACGGACTGCGCACGTGAGAACTGTAGCCCATAAAACACATAGGGATACATTGGGATGCATTTTTAGTGCAGGAGCGTACGGATCAGTTCAGCACAGAAAACGGACGTCGTGTGAACAGGCACTAAAGGGCTCTGGGTGACTGGGACGTCACTCGTCCCTAGGCAAGAATCCCGGTAGAGGACAAGGTATTAAAAGTCCAATTGTGAGAGGAAGGGGTAAGATTTTGAGAATATGCTGTTGACTGCTCCTCACAGGGTGATAATGATTGGTTGATACAGGCAACTGCTCCAGATTCTGCCTGCTGCAGTTTTGATAAATCCCCCTCTAGATGTTACAGCCCCCAGGTAACATACTTTAACCCTGTAGAACCCTGCTCTGTACTTACAGGACATTACAACAAATGTAAACAACAATAAAAAAAAAAAAAAAAGCTGAGGGAGCAGACAGATGCATGTGCGTCCTCCTGGGCTGCCCACGTCTTGTCTGTATCACCACTAACCTGGCAGCGCCATAGCTCTCCGCAGTTTCACTCCTCACCCCGCAAAAAAATTCTCGCTAACTTCCCCTTCAGCGAGGCGGAACTAAACATTCTAACTTATTTCTGACGGACAACTTTACTCGCTGCACTGCGGAGCACACCAAAATAAGCTCGACAATTAACTCGTATTTTGTTCAGTTAATGTTAGTCTACGAAGTTGTGTCTAACTGTAAACCGATTAAACATACAAGCTTTAATTTGTTTTGTTGGAATGTTTTCTAATTGCTCGCGTATGACAGGTTAGATAGGATTGTCTCCACCCCTCCGGCTGCCGAGTGGTTCAGTCCGGAGCGTCAGACTGCACGCGGTAGTTTGTTTCCACAGAGCTGGAAAATGAGTAACATCTACATCCAGGAGCCGCCTACCAACGGCAAGGTGCGAGGGGGACCCCTCGGAGAGACCAATGTGGGGATGGGGTGCGAGGGGTCACACTGGGAAGGGTTTTAGGTTGGGGAGGCTGGCTTATTTTTAGAGGTGTGGAAAAAGTGTCTGACCCTTTTCTCCCCGTGTTTCATCCTCCAAGCATACATAAATAGATTTTAATGATGTGCTTTGCTGCATTGCATGCATTAGGGCTCATGAGCATGGGAGGGGGTGGTTAAATTACGCTTAATATAGAAACAACAACCCCCTTTCCTGTACACACTGCGCTTCCTCCCCCCTTTTCTGTACACGCTTCCTTCCCCCTTTTCTGTATACACTTCCCCCTTTCCTGTACACACTGCGCTTCCTCCCCCCTTTCCGGTACACACTGCGCTTCCTCCCCCCTTTCCGGTACACACTGCGCTTCCTCCCCCCTTTCCGGTACACACTGCGCTTCCTCCCCCCTTTCCGGTACACACTGCGCTTCCTCCCCCCTTTCCGGTACACACTGCGCTTCCTCCCCCCTTTCCGGTACACACTGCGCTTCCTCCCCCCTTTCCGGTACACACTGCGCTTCCTCCCCCCTTTCCGGTACACACTGCGCTTCCTCCCCCCTTTCCGGTACACACTGCGCTTCCTCCCCCCTTTCCGGTACACACTGCGCTTCCTCCCCCCTTTCCGGTACACACTGCGCTTCCTCCCCCCTTTCCGGTACACACTGCGCTTCCTCCCCCCTTTCCGGTACACACTGCGCTTCCTCCCCCCTTTCCGGTACACACTGCGCTTCCTCCCCCCTTTCCGGTACACACTGCGCTTCCTCCCCCCTTTCCGGTACACACTGCGCTTCCTCCCCCCTTTCCGGTACACACTGCGCTTCCTCCCCCCTTTCCGGTACACACTGCGCTTCCTCCCCCCTTTCCGGTACACACTGCGCTTCCTCCCCCCTTTCCGGTACACACTGCGCTTCCTCCCCCCTTTCCGGTACACACTGCGCTTCCTCCCCCCTTTCCGGTACACACTGCGCTTCCTCCCCCCTTTCCGGTACACACTGCGCTTCCTCCCCCCTTTCCGGTACACACTGCGCTTCCTCCCCCCTTTCCTGTACACACTGCCCCCCATCCCTCTCCTCTATGCACTGCCCCCCATCCCTCTCCTGTACACACTGCTCCTAGCAAATTCACCTCCGTTCCCTGTGGCTCTCTGCATTTTGGAGGAGGCAGGAAGTTCTCTCTCTGTGCACATTCCAGGGACTGAGTACCGACCTGCCAACTTGCCCAGATCCAGCTTCCCGGAGAACAGACTCAGGCCACCAGAGCACTGTATTACCATCTTGTTTTGCTTGACAGAGACCCTCAGCAGCTCCACAAGATGTGCTGTGTGCCTGCGGCATGCTAGCACTATGAGCTGATTGGTGGATTCCAGGGAAGTGGGCATCATGTAATTGCGCCTACCTGAAACAGATTTAATTCACAGCAGGAGCTGTCCCCCTCCTGATTCCACAATGCAGCAGCTGGCACACTGTGGTCAGAGCACACAGTAACTGTATGGGCCTTGTCACAGTGGTGTGGAATGCCCCTGCCGCAACTGAATGGGCTGGGAGGGAGGGGTTGTCAGTCAGTTTAGCGTGGGCATGGGTGAACTCTGGCGAACTGGGCTCACACCAAGTCTCCGCATATCACAATCGCCTATGTAACAAGCAGTGACACTCGGCGAGAGTCTGGATTCTGCGGGCTGGCAGGACTTTCTTGGAGTCCCGGGATGCTTGGGAGGTTTGCTTTCAGCTGCATAAACCAATCCTGCAAAAATCTGTCTTCACTGTCTGATTTGCACCATATTTCGTGCTGTGCGCATGTAAACGTTGTGCGAATAATTACATGTGAAAAGCATAAATGGACTCTGCCGCTGCTCAAGGCCAACCTGTAAATATTGTATAATCAGTGGTGCAGGTCCATAATGACCTCGGTCTTTAGTCATTCCGAATCACTGAAGGCCAAGGCATACAATAAGAAGAAATCCGTCCGTGTTTCGGTTCACTCTGAATCAGTTTATTGGAAATTCGACAGTAACTCTTGAGTC